TATAATCTTCATCATACAATAAAAATCAATGAACAAGGCATTGTATTATCTTATTTTGCTTATCACTCTACAACTTTTATTTTTTTATATATCTTCCTAGCAGATATCATACCATCTTCGTATCGCAATTATCAACGACATCATTTGTATTCTTGATGCTTCTCATCCCGGAACCTAAATTTTATTAACTAATATTACTCATCACATATTCATTTTTACATCCTTTATAGCTTTCAATGCATCATTCGCTTTTACATATATTTTAAATTAAATTATAACACTATAATACATAGCATCATTTCCTCGTTTTTCTGTAAACTTATTATATACAATGTCATAATTTTTTTCCTATATTATAACTATACAATAACTCAACTTTTTTTGTTATATTTCATGACAGATCAAAATACAACTTCAAAAAGACCATCAAGACCAAGCGACTACATGAAATCCGGAACACAATATGGAAGATGCATACATCACACGAGAACAATCGACCTCGAGCGATACCTTCAATTTCTTCTTATGTATCAACCATTGTCAATTGTAGAAACTGAAGTTTTAGTATATCATTACAGATGGCATAGAGGACAACAAAACATGGCTACATTGTATTTGGCTGATACAGATGAACAAGAGGCTATCAAGGATCCATACAACACTTAGTTCAAAATATATAAACACATACAAAGATATAATTTCATTGCTATGCCTAGCTACAGTCTATGATTACGATGATAACTATGACATTCCACTAACAGGAACAACTATGACATTCCATTACACTTCTAATCACCATAAATTATTAGAACCTCCCGGACTAACATTCGATGCTGATTTCCAACACATGATACCACAACCTCTTCCAATCCATACATTACCACTTAGACCAAATACGCCTCTTATTTCTAATCATAAAAACAAATAAAAAATCAATCGCCCATATGAATTATTTAATCAATAATATAGAATTCATAACATTGCTTTTAAAAATAACTCCTAAATTGTAAAATTTTTCCCTTTTTTAGTTTCAAAAATACATTACTTGCTCCTAACAAAATCTCTTCCTGTACATTAATTCTATATTAATTTATAAAACAAAATACTTTCTTCTAAAAACACTAAACATACTCCTCCCTTACAAAAATAGTAAATCGTAATTTGTATAAGATTTCAACACATTTCAAAAAAAAATTGATTGAAACTGTATTCGTTTTTTAACATTTTAAATACACTTCAAAAAAACATTGATCATAATATGCCCCTTAATGTTCAGTTGTTTTTTTACTTTTCTCTTATTTTTCTTTTTTTTTATATGTTTAGATCAAACATAAACAAATTTGCATTTCTTCAAGTTCATTAAGAGTCTCAATTAAATACTTCTAATGATACTTTGCCCGTTACATTTCGACTTCCATTAATTTTTTGATATTCCATTCTTTTTCCCCAAACTTAAAATACAACTCTATTTCATTAGCAGTAGTAAGCTCCTAATTAACGACTCTATTTTACTAGCAACATTGGGCTATTTGAACATCTGAATGTAAATACTTTTTCAAAAATATGCAAAAACGATATTGAATTTCCTATACAACCTCAAACAAATTGTATTGAATCTAGTTGTTTCCTAACAATTTTTTTTTTTTTTTTTTTTCACATTTCGAAAGCCTCTATGACGAGGCCCTGAGTTAGAGTTTGCATCAAGGTACTGCTGTTTAGGGTTACCAGTCACAACCTCGTATAATCGTCCGTACAGCCCCCGAAGCTACAATCTCATATGCCCTGGCTGCGCCCCCTCGCCTCGCGCGGTTCCAGTTTTAGTAGTATTATTAGTTAGAGGGAGAGTAATCTTAGGGAAGGAATTAGATGGAAGCTGGATAAGTAAAAAGAGTGGAGTTGTTGTCCTTTTTGTTTGTTTGCATGGTGGTATGAAGGATTTTGAGGAGTGTTTTATTGAAGACGAGTTGGTGGGCAAAAACCCACAGATCAGAAGTTGGACACTTGCCGAATGGTTGCAGTTTGAGTCGATCCGGATTGTTTATGAGGATTTCCGGCCTCAAGGTTGGTCTATAATGAAATTCCTTGCTTTTTCCAAAAAAATAAAATAAAATAAATTTGGCGGGTCGATCCAGCGGCCTAGCTCAGTTGGTAAGGCACGCAAGTGGCATTCAGGAGGTCTTGGGTTCAATCCCAATTGGCCTCATGTACCTTCCTGGGCAAGCTTGGCGCCCGCCACCCAGAGATATGTTGTTGGTCCCCCCAAGTGGCATTAAAAAAACAGTCTCTGACGATGTTCATAGGGGGAGCGGTACTCAGGGAGGCACAACGATTGGCCACTCAGAAGATGCTCGGTCCCTCTGCTACGGGCTGTCCCCTGGCCGGTGTCCCCCGGTAGGGGGTTCCCTGAAGGCTTTCAGGCCACCCTAAGGCTATCAGGCCACCCTGGGCTGAAAAGGCCACGGTGTCAGATTAGACACAAGATTGAATTTACCTAGGCTGGTTAGTCCGACGATAATACCTCAAGGCCATCGCCCTTACAAAAAAAAAAAAAAAAAAAAAATTGGCGGGTCGACAACAAAAGTGCAGGGAGGCTGTCGATCGCCGGTCAGCCACCGTCCTGGCTGCGCCCCCACGCCCAGCGTGGTATCGGTTCTTGGGGTGTCAGACACATGAAACAAAAAAACGAAACGCATCTGCCCATGAAAGGTGGAAAAGTACAGTAAACCGACGAACCTGGCCATTTTTGTAGGAAGATGCACTCGTCTCGTTTTTCGTTTTGTGTGCCGTGCCGCGACGCCCTTGGTTGCCTTCTGCGAAAGGACAAAAAGGGAAAAAAAATGAGACGAGTGCATCTGCGAAAGGACAAAAAGGGAAAAAAAAAAAGTGAAAAAGAAAAGACCAGACCAGACGTCCGCCCTTCCTCCCAAAGAGGAAACAGTGGAGGCGGAGGTCGCCCGCTCACCGACTGGTCTTAGACTTGTGGGCGACCGGTCTTAGACTTGAGGGCGACCTTAGACTTGTGGGCGACCGGACCCTTCGAAGTGAATTTCTAAAGGCCGTATTCTGCCCAAAAAGACCCTACCAAAGCTTCATTCGGACCGACGACAACGACAAAAAGACTATGGCAATAGACGCAGCCTTTTGGCTGCGAATTCGCGCAGTGCTGAAACCGGGCCGGTCGTCCCCAAAATTGCCCCTCCAAGCACACTGCGCTGGGGTCGCACGTGGCCCGTACGGGGGACCCGCATGGCCGTGCGGCTGTGCAAGGATCCTTGCTTGCGTGCCGGGGGCACCCGTGCGCAGGGAAATGAAGCCTGGCTCCTTATGGACCTGGCTAAATAATAAGGCAGGTGGAGGCAATCGGCAAGGGGGTCTGAGTGACGCGTGGCGCTTCAGATTTGAGAGGAGGGCAATTTTTTCGCCAGCACTTGTCCTTTTCGGAGGGTCTCTAGGAAAGTTGTCGGGCCCCAGCGAAAATGGAACTGTTAGCGGAGGGAAGTGGTTGGTCACTGGCACGCATTCGATCAGGACTACGAGCAGGGGACCGAGCGGGAACACGGCGGGAACACGGGGACGAGTTCTATGCAGGATGGCGATGGCGGGGATTGTCAACGGATGATTCGTCTCTCATCTTCGTGCTGTCTTGACTGAAGTGGATCACCAGGCGTCCTCTGCGTGAGTCTGTTCTCCTTGCTGGTTGGCCGGTGTCGAAGATGTCAACCAAGTCACTCACACACACACAGACAGACACACACACACACACACACACACACACACACACACACACACACACA